TAAGACTATGAAAGTGCATTGGTAGAAGAATGGAATCTAAAGCCTCGTAGTTTTTTTAATGATTTGATAAAAAGTATGCATATACGAATGCAATTTTTTTTCTATGATACACTGGCCAGTTATAAATTATTTTAAAAATCAAAGTCTATAATAATCACTTGTGAAGATAATATTGGATGAATCCTATCAAAAGTCCTCTACTGAACATAGATTCTTGTAGGTAATAGTTGTCACGTTTGGCTCATATATGCGTTTTTGTGATAGTAGCTATGCTTGACAAGCAATTGGGCAGCCGTAGTTTTCTATTATTTTGAGTTGTTATTGGGAAAATACTGCTGCCCATCTTCTTTTTCATTTATCTCCGTTGCCTATTCCGACACCCGATATGAGATGATAGGAGTAGTGGATTCACCATGACATGGTGTAAAAATGCGAATATTTATATGTTGAATATATAAATATATATAAAATATATATTGAACATTTGTATGTTCTACGATTTTAAATAATGTGGTTTAAAACCAGATGAATAGATTTCAAGTGGCACCCAATTTATCGGTATACTCACTTTTTTCTGCTCTCTACTTCCGTCTTATTTAATACTAACTTTTTACCCGCGGGTTTGGTCGTGTGAGCTTGAATTTAGGAACATCATTAAGTGTTGTTCCGTGCCAAATTTAGCAAAATTCGATCACTTTTAGAGTCACCTCGGTGTCTGTATCTATATCTCTGTCGAAGATTTTTTTTTAATTCTAAAAGATTAATAGACTCAAATGATTGGTATTTCGCATAGATATGATATGCTACAGGAACGTATATGTCTAGAAACATCTATTATTTTTTATATCGGGCGTGTCTTCCGATGTATCCATAAGAAAAGTAAATTGTCTTGGAATCAAAATTTATTATTATTATTTACATTTTACTCTTTACATTGATTCATAATTAAAGTTAATTTAGTTTTAACAAAATAATGATGAATTTCATGGTCTCCTATCAATTTACGGTATAATATTTATTTGAAATATTTTATTAATATCCTTGGTCCTATTTAATATTGATTGGCAGATTGGCACCATAAAATAAATGAGAACAATTTTTTTCATTCGAGTAGACTTCAAAATTTCATAAATGCAGTTCTATAATGATGTACTGCTGTCACATGGAATAAAACTAATGTTACGGATTTTATCACGTTTAATTTTATCTTTTTTTTTACGTGGGGTTTTTTTACGCATCTTTAGATGAAAGTTCCATAAAAACCCGAAGGAAAAAACATATCTTTGATGTGAAGCACCGACGCTCCCGGAAGTTTAAAGTATTTCAACATGTTTAGTATGGTCCCAATCATTATATCGGATCTGTTAAACAACAAACCTTGCAATAGAAAACCGATTCCTAACAATAGATAATAATAATAGGGAAGATGGCTGAGTACTACCATCTGCTAAGAACCCCATAATTAATTAAATATAAAATCAGGTCCTCAAACACCTCAGTCCTCCCGTGACCATGGATGCTGTAAAGTGGCCAAAACATCAGGAATTATAAAAGTTAAAATTAAACGTGTTAAATCTTTAAAATTAGTTCTATCTTTATATATAAAAATTACGTGTCACTTTGTTTGTCCGCGATGGACTCCTAAACTACTGAACTGATTTCAATGAAATTTTGCATACTGTGTGCATTTTGGTCCAACTTGAGAGATAGGATAGTTTTTATCTCGCCAAATGACACTTAAAATTTTTTATCACGAATTTAAGGATTTTTAAAGGAAGGGTCGTTGGAAAGGGCAGAACAACGTCTCCCTGGCGAGCTAGTTCTTTATAAATTTTATTCACAGTGAACGTGGGAAGCACTACACTCATGAACGGGAGTAGAAAAATATTCGCCTTGTTGTGGCAGTGAAAGAGAATCCACAACCACATATCGTCCCGTCGTAAGAGGCGACATAGTAAAACAAACAGGAGATGGACAGCATCATCTTCCTGACAACAGATCAAAATAATAATAGCTGCGGTTGTCAACCCGCCTACCAAGCGTGGCATCTAAAGCAAATATCCAGCTACTTGACAATTTACGGGGGAGGTCTATGTTCATTTCAGTGGACTTTTGATAGGCTGACGATAATGAGTTCTATTCATCTTTGCAACCCTTAATATTTACGATAGAGTGAAAACAAAAAGTAACATACCCGAAAATATGAATGTAATAAAAACGGCATATATTGCCCCAAGAAAGTAAAAAAAGTAGCAGCTTACATACATGTTACCACTGGGCACAGGCCGCACAGATTTTTTGGCCAAAAAAGTGTTCACTGCGCTGTTTCCAGCGCAGGATGACCTCAACTGGAAAACTTCTCAGATATGCAGCAATATATAGTTACTAATATCTTCAAACGATTTCTATTCATTGATTTAGTCAAGTTAAGTTAATTTAGTCATGACATGGTGTTAACAACAAACAGTGTTAAATATTATGAAATGACCACACTATTTCACGAAATGATAGACTACTTTATGATATATGATCAATTCTAGTACGATCTGGCTACGACTTATATAAAAATTCTTTAATAAAACTATAATGATAATGAAAATTTTGCAATAAGTGCAGGCAGACCAGTTTTAATCAGTATATATATATATATATATTGATTAGTAATTGAAATAAAAACTTTATCAGTTTTCATATTTTCACATTGACATCAATATTATCTATTAAAATTATTACACTTTTAAAATAAAATAACAAAAATACTAAAAAACTGAACGTTAGTATTTTAAATTTTTTTATTATTTAAACATATATAAATGTAAGCTAATTTATATTATTCAATTTATTATTAGTAACTGAAGGCAAAATATACTTTTTCCATTTGATGACAGATGGCGCTGTTTTGATAACTGAATCGGCGTAGTTTCAAATTATTTTACCAAAGTTAGAACTATATTTTAATCCTTATTTATAAATATGGTATTTATTTGAAAAACATCCGTCTTTCACACAGACAGATAGACAAAAATTCTAAAAACCATTAACTTAGATTCAGGGCTCTCTTTATTTAGTCACCTGTACTTGTTTTTTCAAGAATATCTTAGAATAACAGACACGACTTTTCTACAGATTTATTATAGGTATGTATAGATATCAAGTCCACCATATCTAACAGAACATTTACATTCTTATCTCCTTTCATTATTTTTACTGTCGGTCTAAGGAAAACCTTTCACTTCAATGTCCTTAGCACGCTTCTAGATTTTCATCATAAATGCTTATTTTTTCTTGAAGAAAGACTTTGAAACCTCCTTACCTCTGTTGATTTAACATACTCAATACCTACATTTAAAAAAAGGTTCAGTAACATTATTATAATTTGTGTTTCAAACCCCTCTCTTTGTCTCTTTTAACCCGTTTAGCTTTTCCCCCTTTTATTTAATTATTTTATGGATTTTCTGGAAGAACTTGCTGTATTCGCAAATTATGTTGTGTTAATCTTTGCTTGATGTACATACAGAGTATTTTTTTTATATTATACTTTACCTTTAACCTTTATTACTTATACAGTCTCTTATTCGATCAAATTGATTTTCAATCTAAACGTAATAGTTCATTTAAAAAGTTTTTAACGAGTCTCAAGGAGGGTCAAAAATAATTTAAAGAAATAAAAGTTTTTAAAAATATTTTATTCTCTCAATACGGTCCATAGTTTAACAATTGATTTCAACAACATCTTGTGCGTCTAAAAACCTGAGAAAATATAACTTTTAAAACAATTCTCGTAATTTATAAATTTCTGGATGGAGAATGAAGATGGCAAAAAAAGAGGGAAAGTTCATAAGTTTATATGTATTTAAGCCCATATTAAAATGTCATAGCCAATATCGTTTTTTAGCTGAAATGGGTTGTTAAAATATTACTTAAATTAAATCTGTGCGTGTTTTCAATAGTTACAAAACTTTTCAAAAATATTGAAAAGTCATTTCGGTGTAGGCACTTCCTTACGAGTCTAGTCACCGACATTAAACCTATATTTACAAAATAGTATTAAGTTACAAAAGTATAAATTAATATCCTAATAAGTACTTTGCACAAAATGTCACAACGCTAGTCATTAATTTCTTCTACTGAGGTCAGAGTAAGATCTACTAATTCAGATCCTTGTGTTGTATAATATTCGATAGCATCTTTTATCCGCTATATTGTACTTTGATTTTTTCATAATTTGATCGCTAAATGCAGTCTTCTTCATATATATACCTGATCTTACCTAAATCACAACAATACAATAATAGGTATATTACGTATATCTAAGTAATCTCATAAATAAATGCCTTACCTACATAATTTATAAAAACTATCTAAATAATTTGTACAATACATCTGAGTCTCCCATTTATCATGGTGACTGAAAAATAATTATAAACACAATAATAAATAATATGTTAAATTAATAATAATATTTGACCACAGTCTTTAAAGACACACAAATGTAACAAAAATTGTATGGAAACAAATAGAAATGTCTTTAAAATAGGAACACACGAAATTAATGTTAATTTATGACATCAATACAAACTGATATTTGGTCTGTACAGTTATTAATATATAACATGTTTGACTCAATCTATTATTTTGAATCACAATATACAGTGGCACATCATGGAATGATATCTGTACTACGTACGTCTCCCAAACAAAAATGTATCAAAGTTGTAGCCTCCATTATTATTATTATAATTAACTGGAGAGTTTACTTTAAAATTATGTTCCACGTAATACTGTCCTAAGATTTGATACATTATAAAACAATATTGCGAACCTTAAAACATGCCATACCTACTAATCTCAATTACAAAGAGATGCAAATCATCATAACTTTAGGTAAAGATGTCATTTCTTTCATTGTATTAAATACTTAATACACTACTCATTGATTACACTATACTGTCACAACTTGTTTAAACAGTTTTTATAACCACTCACTTTCAACATTCATGTTAATGCCTGGAGGAATCACTTTCGTGGCCCGAATCTCTCGCATTTTCTCTTGGAGAAGCTCGATGATCTCTTTCGTCTCTGAACCGATCCCTACGGTCCCGTTCCCTTGACCTTTCCCTGTCCCTATTCCTTTCTCGGTCTCTGTCTCGATCGCGATCTCTATCCCGATCGCGGTCCCTGTCATGATCGTCTTCACGATCCCTGCGACGATCATAGTAGTGATAGGAGCGTCTTGACTTTCTATCGCTCGGTGTTACTACTTCCACTTTAATATTAGCCGTAGCCGTGACCTATAAAAATATTTATAGTTAGTGATATGCAAGCGGACAGGGCAACTTCATGTAAAGTAAAGTAAAAAAAAAAAAAACACATATGTAAAGCGCATTTCTAAAACCGAAATACAAATCTTACCTTAGTAGTAATAGCACCAGTGTGTGTAGTTTTTGAGGTAGGAGTAGAGCGACCAGAAGCAGAATCACTGCCGTTGTATGTTGTAGTTTCAACAACAACCTCCGGTTGCACAACGATAGATTGCATAGAAGACTGGACGGAAGGAGCGGAGCTATGCCAGCTGGGTGGTTCTTCGGTTATAGTAGTGAGGGAGGGGGCACAAGGTCGTGGTGCTGATTTCGCTCGGCTCGTCTTGTCGCCGCTGGAGCTTGATTTTCTTGGATGCACAGGTGAACATTTTGGTGATGGTGTTGATAATCGTTCAGGATGTTCTAGCGGTCGCACCTATAAAAAGAATTTTTAATAAGAATAGGATAAGGATGACAAACGAGCACACAGTCCACCTGATGGTAAGTGGTAGTGGTGGCTCATAGACATCTACATCTATCCTCTGTTACAAATCAAAATGCAGATGCGTTGTCATCCGTGAGGACTAAGATGAAATGCTTTATTTCCAGTAAAAAGTAAAAGGGATTTTTTTACACTTTATGTAAAATATTTTAAGCACATAACATATTAACACATCTAATACATAAGGCGAAATATTTAAGAATATAATATAAATATTTATTGCTACCTCTTAATTGCTTAAAATATGGAATTTCTTGTATTTACAAGGCCAAATTTCATCGGTGATAGCAATTTCATATTTTTACTATTTTTAATTCTAAATAAACTAACACTACGATGGATTTTACTAAGGTTCATAGCATGGGTTATAGTAACGTACCTCAGCAGCGGGCCCCAGTATTGATAAAACAATGGGGAAGAACAGTAGTCCATCTAAAAGTCCAAGTATGACTAATGCGAGTAACAGCCGCAGGAACAATCTTGCGACGAATCCAAATTCACTAGCTGCCAACATTGACGCTGCTAGAGCTGCTGCTATGGCACCATGGACTACTGGAGCTAGCACGGATTCTAGGGCCAAGGAAGCACGTCGCCTTCTGCAGCCAATTGATGTAACGAAACCCTGCAATAAAATGCGTAGGTTTACATAAAATTCATTGGAATTAAGCCATGTATCGAATATATCATTGAACATGTTAGGAAGCGTATTTATAACATTAGATGCTTGGTTTAAAGATTTTAATTTAATTTTATTATAGCAGAATACACCTTAGTTGAAACAGCATACTACAACTACTTAAAGCTTCTTGATAACAACATATTTTCAATTCAATTCTTATTTCTTCTATATCAAGCTAAGCATGTAAATAAAATCAGCAATAAAATACACATGCACAAACCATTCTCTCTCATCACAATTTAGCAAATAACACATTTTTATAGATTATAGTTGCAAAACAATTTACTATTATAAACTTACCAGACACAAATGTACAGTGAAATGAACTCCTCGTCCGATAGCTAGTACCAACAAGACGGCTGGTACGGCGGACAGTTTAACTCCCAGGATGGCCATCACTCCCAACAACTGGAGCACTAATGTAGCAAGAGCTAGCGTCACCAGCAACGCAGCCCACGCATTTAGTAAAAGCACCATTACAGCCTAACAAGACAAATAATATAAATCAGTTTCAATAATATAAGGTACTATTATCTAATAAATACTCTTAGCTTAGATTTTGATTTTATATTTTTGTCAGTGTATTTTTTTATAATATTCCTTAAAGAAAATAACTAAATCAAAAGTTTCTCACAAAATCCATTTATATATGATGATATGTACACTCACCACAAATACTGCAGCTAAAGCACAAGCCAGAGCCAGAAGCAACGACGTCCTCAAGTAAAGGTACTGCTCCCAAAACAAAAAAGGTATTCCCGACGGGAAATTCGACAATCCTTTTGCTTCGAATTTTAGACACAACTCCCTCACAGACATTATCAAGTTCTTTATACTGTCTGTATCACTAAGTCCAGATAAATAAAAGGGTAACTGCGTATAAATCAACGGCGATGATTTTGGTATCTTCAGATCAACATCCCCAGGGGAATGCGTCCATCTCTTAGGTTGTGGCTTTAGATTTGCCTGCGAAGCTCCGTAAGCCAGGGCATCATTAGTGGCCCAAGCAGAAAGGTAATTGTAAAAAGCTTTTGGATTGATTATTCCGTCTTTATCAACTAATCTGTGGCCGTTTTTAGTGTCAGTACTAATAAGTGATTTCTCAATCGGGTTATCCACGTGGCCGGTTTGCACCATTAGCTTATATGCCAATATTCCTTCATCGCTCGCATTCTTGCACCAGTACTCTTGAGTTATGCAACCGCTAGCGACTTCCTTGTCAAAAGCCGCTTGCAAATCTAGTAACCAATCTCGAAATAGACTTAACCAGAATTTTGTGAGTCCACCGTTGTCATTTTTTATTATGTTTGGTATCCGAACGAATTGGTCGTGATATTCATAAAGTAGCTTTTGATTAGTAGGATATTCAAAATCGCCTTGAGTTACTGCGTACATGTTGTAGAAGCCGAAATATTTCTCTTGGCGTGATAGAAATTCGTGTTCGTCCGTGTTTTCCGGTACTATGTCTGTAAGATCCAGACCATCTTTGACTTTCGTTGCTCCCCATACACTTGCTAATATTACTGCTATAAGAGCGAGTATTGATGTAACCTGAAATTTGAAATATGATTTTAAAAAAAAACATTACTAATAAAAAACTTATTATAATACGTCATATTAAATAGTGTGTAGTTTTGTGATATACTGTCACTTTTAATAAATTTATGAAATCGGTATGGTCTTTAAAAACTAAAAAAAATGTATTCGTTAAAATAATATTACATGTTTTAGTAATTTTATTTAATGTTAAAGTAAATATATGAATGTACCTTTACAGCTGGTCGCATGATAAAAGGTGCATATTGATTCTTAGCCCACTTCGTAAGTGACAAGCTGAGGCAGCAGGTTTTAGTCTTGTTTCCCAGCTCCTCAGGGTCCAGAGGTTGTCGTGTTGTATCCTTCCAGTTGCTCTGTTAAAGACATATTATTGATATTGATTATAACATCGAAATATGAGTAATGGTTTAGCATTACTTTTTATTTGCTTTTAAGCAAGGCTTTAAAATTATTCTGCTATTGCAATAGTGCCTAACTTTTGTTTTTATACCACTATACTATTTGCATATTTCTGTCACGGTTTTGTAATACTGTGAATTGCAGTTTCGATTCTTTCCATAGGTGTTTTAGGTTTTTAGGCCATACTAATACTTGTTTCGAGTCTGGGTGCTTTCCGCGTGCAATTTAACAGGTATATTTTAGGATCACGATAGAGAAATAATTCAAAGTGTAACCTAGTGTATGAGTAAAGTTTAAAGAACTAAGTAAACATTTAATTTTTTTATAGGATAAAGGTGACAAACGAGCGCATAATCCACCTGATGGTAAGTGGTTGCTGCGGCCCATATACATCTATATCTATTCTCGATTACGAATCAAAATGCAGATGCGTTGTCACCCGTGAGGACTAAGATGGAATACCTCGTTTCCAGTAAAAAGGGTCTCCGATTCTCTACACTCACCATACGAAACACAATAGCGTTAAGCTACTATTTTACGCTAGTATTCTGTGAGAGCGTGGTCCTTCCCCGGTCGAGCCGACCCATTCGTGCTACTCATTTTATAATATCACTATTTGATAGAATACACACAATAATTGACATGTTGATCTTAAATATGCATGACTATTATCGAATTTAGTATAAATCGCCAAATGATTATATTCTAACAACTCAGTTAACTTGTTTAAGTTAAAATTTGGAAATAATTAAGAAGTTTCAAGAAACATAATGATAATAATAGAGCTTTTTTTTATTTGTCATGTTTTGAAATGACATTTAATTTGAAATATTAGACTTCTAATGATTCCTTCTTAATGATTTTATATGTCTCAATATATAAATTACGCGTGGACTAAAATAAAAGAATACCTAGTGACATCTATAGCGATACCTAATCTAAACTAATCTGGAACTAACATTTGTTAAATAAGGGGATGTTAAAGTAAGTAAGGACCGCTATTTGTACTTGCACTTGTGACACTATAATATGTTTTTCTTGTTATTGCTCTCGTTGCTGTGGTTCAAATCGGCCAGGTTTATCAACTTATATCCAATCTCTAATTATAAAATAACTTTGTTAGCTCACCTTATTGTTCTTGCCACTGCGACTGGAGCGTTCTGGTATTTTCTTAGTCCTCGTTATTGGAGTTTCAGGCATCAAACAGCAAAGAAGATCGGTCCTAGCGGCTGACCGCCGTCGAAGGTCCAACGAAATCATCGCCGGGAAAACGAGAAGCATTGAACCAAGATTGAACAAGAGCAAAATCGCAGCCTGTAATTAAAATTTTTTTTATTATTTTCATTTCAAATAAAATAATCTCTAATATGTCTAATAAAATATTTTTTTAATGTTTAAATGTGACTTAAAAAATGTTTTTTATTAAATTGTGTAAAGTATATAAAATATTGTCATTTTAAGTTTATTATTAACTTACCTGTATACAAAATGCCCTTAAAGCTGGAATAGGTAGTAACGCCGCTGCTAAGAAAGCCATAACATTACACAGCGAAGCCAAAAGAACACTCAGTCCACTCTTTTTCAGTACTAGTCCAGTTCTTTCTTCTCTAGGCACATCCCCCGCTTGCTCCACATACGTGTGAGTGAGAAGAAACATATCCTGTACACCTAGACCTAATGCTAAGAATGGTACTATCTGAGTACTGGACGCATTGAATGGGATACCTGAAAAGAGATATTTTATTTGCGTTAATATTAATAAAGTCATACTAAATTTTCAATTGCTATTAATATTAATATGGCGTCCGTTACATCGTTCTTTACTTTGCATTACATGCCTACGAAACAGTTTTTGCATAATTTACACACTTGTTGAAAATGTAATAATTCTTTTACGGCGGGCCGTTTGTAAACGACAACATTATATATTATACTAGCTGTTCCCCGCGACTTCGCTCGCGTGTTAGGGTTTTTTAGTTATTTTGCGTGGAACCCTAATTCTTTTTCTAAAATAAAAGTAGCCTTACTTAGTTACTCCTTATGACATCAGCTATCTACCAGTGAAAGTCCCGTCAAAATCGGTCCAGCCGTTTCGGAGATTAGCCGGAACAAACAGCCAGACAGACAGACAGAAAAATTTTAAAAATTGTTTTTTAGTTATAAGTACCGTATTTACTTTCATATGCATTTAGTAAAAACTTTAATTTTGACATTACAAACAGATACTTCAATTTTATTTATTTGTATAGACGTATAGATACTCTAATATCATTAGTGACCAAGGCAGAAAGAAAAATAACCCATCAATCATCATCATCGTCATCTTCACAAGTCCACTGCTGAACATAGGCCTCCCCCAAGGAATGCACGGTCCTGAGCACCCTATATACATTGACTTCCTGCATGTCTTACCAGGTCGTCGCTCCATCAAGCGGGGCACGCCCGACACTTTGCCTGGCGGTACGAGGTTGCCACTCGAGAACCTTCTTTCCCCACCGGTTGTCAGTTCTTCGAACTATATGGCAATATAATAATAATAATAATATATTTATATACTAGCTGTTCCCCGCGACTTCGCCCGCGCATAATTTATTACGATTGGATTTCATGGGTTTTAATTTTTTGCGCGGAACCCTAATTCTTTTTCTGAAATAAAAGTAGCCTAAGTTACTTCTTATAACATCAGCTATCTGCCAGTGAAAGTTCGGTCAAAATCGGTCCAGCCGTTTCGCAGATTAACCGGAACAAACAGACAGACAGACAGAAAGACAGACAGACAAAAATTCTAAAAATCGTGTTTTTATTATTAGTACAGTATATACTTTCATATGCATATAGTAAAAAGCTGTTATTTCGACATCACAAACAGACACTTCAATTTTATTTATTTGTATAGATATATATTTAAATAATTTAAAATTAAAAATTTTGTACAGCCGACTTCAATATAAGTTATTTAAGAATAACTTAAAAACTATTGGTCTGACCTTGATCAAATTCATATGGGACCACACGAGAAGTACCAGCTTTCAAATAAAAAAAGAATCATCGAAATCGGTTCACCCAGAAAAAAGTTCTGAGGTAACACACATAAAAAAAAACGAAAAAAAAAAAACATACAGTCGAATTGAGTACCGGCTCCTTTTTGGAAGTCGGCAGATAAAAGAAATAATGATGCACCGTTATTGCTGTTTTTGAAAATACGAGTAAATAAGGCTAAATAAAAATACAAAATAGCACTAAATGTTAAAGTGGCTATATATTGGTTTCATTTTAGGAAAGTCTTGTTTTGCAAATTAACTGTGCAGATTAACTTTGTTGTACAAATTTTCTCTTTAGTTTAAATATCTTTCGTTTTAATATAGGTAAAAAATATCTGAAAAAAAATCAACAACAATAATATTTTCCAACAGAATTTAAAAAAGATTATAAATGCAACAAAAATAAAAAATAAAAATATTCACCTAATAAAGCACAAAAACCTAACCCCGCAGCGACAGTAATCGACAGCAGTAATACGCCGGCGATGCCCACTCCGGCCTGCGAGCGTATGGGATCGCGCCATTGAATCAAAGTTACCGCAACATAAATCAACTGTAAAACGTAAACAAATAAATTAAATGAAACGAATGAAAACAAATCAAAAACACAAACAGTATATTCATGAGTCCCTTACCATGAACATGTACCCTAATATAATGTTCTTCAAAGAGAGTTCGGAGAATTTGCCGAGAATATCGTTGAGAGTTGAAGTGGAGAAAGGATAAAAGCTGTACGCTGGCGACACTGACTCCGTAGTCATCATTTTTCTTACTTCCTGCAAATTAAATTTATTTAATTAGTATCCGAAATATTTCATACATCATAAATAACAGAACAATCTACGCTTTCCTTGCATTTGAATTTCAAAACAAAACGGTTTTTGGATTTAAATGTTGCAGTATTACCAAAATATGACAACGTAGAAAAAAGACATCGCAGAGCAATGCATGCAAGTTTCTAAAAAGTCTCTCTTACATGAGCAATTCAAATATTCTAAATATCTGTAATTTATTTTCGTAAATATGGAATATTTGAAACTCTTGCTAAGACAATAATTTTGACACAATAGCCATAATTTAAGTTATATAGTTTCCAATATCATTCGTTGGCTGCGTAAAAGAATCCATCAACCCATTTCGCCCTTCGGATATGGTAAGATGTAACTAGTACTTGCACTGATGCATTCCGCTCTAAAGGGCTCTAAAGGTTCTATTAGAGAGGGGTACTAGACCTATAATTACAAGCTATAAGGCATTCCATCTTAGTCCTCAGAGGTGACCAGCGTAGGTGCGTTTAACTGGCTGCAGGTTTCCATACACTGCAGAAGCCGTTTTCCACCAGGTCTACTGTAGGTTCGTTTGTCACATTAGTTTTATAATAAAAAAATTGTGAGTTGATAAAGTAGAAATTTTATACAGATGACTTACAGCCGCAAACTTTCTCTGCCATGCATCTAAAACAGCAGCGGCCTTCTCTTGGCTCCATCCGATATGGTGCACCTTATAATGATCGGCCCAGTACTCGAACATCTCCCGTTCGCCCATCAGCTGCACTACGCTTTGCAACGCCTTGGCGCTTCGCAATGCATTCGTGGAATTCCTCGTGGCACCACCTACTATCAATTGCTCCGGCCAATGCATGTACGCCGCTGCGAACCCGTAGCAACCGTGAGATAGCTCCGCCGCTACATCTGGAACCTAAGAGAAAAAAATTCAAGTTAGAAAGAAATAGCATCGTTAGTCGGTATTAGTTTTTTCTACCGACTTCAAAAAGGAGACGGTACTCAATTCGACTATGTGTTTGTTTATGTGTGTTACCTCGTAACTTTTTACTGGGTGAATCGATTTCGATGATTCCTTATTATTTAAAAGCTGATGCTTTACATGTGGTCCCATATAAATTTGATGAAGGTCTGACCAATGGCTTTTGAGTTATTTCTAATAATTTATATTGAAGTCGGTTGTACACAATTTTTAATTATTGATAAAACAGATTTACTGTTATGTTTTAAACTTAAATTTATGTCTAAATAATGCTAAGTTTGCTAAGACTCACTTGTCATTTGTCAAAGAGTTTCAATGAATCTACGAGTATTTTATGTAGCAGTTTTTTTTAAATTGAATAAATATATTTTTTAAATATTAAAATGTAAATGAAGAAGGAACCTAACAAAACCATAAAACACAATTGCCAAAAACAGGTGCTTCAAAAATACATCATAATCTACGCGACTGTGCATTGATAATAAAGATCGAAAATGAACAAAGGCGTGCGCAAAATTTACGAGTTTTACGTGGAACTACGTTTGTATCGATGTGCATTATTGATATAATAGTGACATTGTGCGGCGATAGGGAGGCCCATTGAAGCGTGCACAATGCGCCCGTATAGTACGCTCCGGGAACAATGAGCGCCCGTTTCTTCGCCGAACGTGGGTGGCGAACGATGCTATAGCTACACAAAAATGCACCCTACTCTTCAAAATGCAAAAGCAATGACTTACATGTTTAACAGAGTGATTGAGGCTGCCACACCTTTTTAGTGCTACAAACGTCCTTTGTCTATACTAACCAATTCTAGGAATAATGAGACGAATGCTCGTCTAATGAACGAAGGTTACAAGCGAAACGGTATTGTTCCGTAACTTATTACGTCGCATTGAAAACGTATTTCGGAGTGAGACTTTCTCGAGAGTCGCCCGAGTAGGAGCAGGTAGCCACCATCTGCCGGGCGGCGACCGCTTTCATCCCGTCTTATTACAGTTTCTAAAAACATTTTATTATAATAGTATTTCTTAAACTTTATGCGTTATTCGATAAAGTTATTTCATTTGTCACGACATTGTATGGTTTTGTAATACGCACATAGAATCGTTGCAAAATTGGAATTGTCATATGGTAATGGTGATATGAAGAAATACAACTTATATAGGTCGCGCGTGCGTTATAAATGAACTACACGGTTGTATACTAAGATGTTTTTAAGGCCGGCCACATACATACGGAATTCCGTTTCGAGATTCCGTTTCGATATTCCGATTCGGAATCCCGAACGCAGCAAGTCCACATAAAATCTATGACCCGCCACACACGTACGGTAGTTTTCCGTTCGATATTTTGCGGGCAAAACGGGATTCCGTTTGTGTGTGGCCGACCGTTCGAAATTCCGAAACGGAATCTCGAAACGGAATTCCGTATGTATATGGCGGGCCTTAAGGTATAGATACGTCATACTCGCTCTAAAATGGCAATACGAAAGTAAGGTAATTGCCCGACTCGCATTCAGTCGGGCACGCACTCGCGTCGCGGCTATACCTTCGCTACAGCACGTAAATCTTCTAGTTATTCGTGGCAAAAATGCCTCCCTGTGTTTTTAAGTGGTGCACAAATTACACGGCAACTGTTAGAGACAAGAAAAACGTCTCACAAATATTTTGAATATAGATGTTTTGTTCATAATTGGTTTTATTATTTCAACACTAACCGCTAGTGTAAACTTTGACGCTGGCTAGTGTGTTCATTTTCCATATCGGTAGTCTTTTTAATACGTCTTTGGTTGTATATCTTAATCTTATCCATGTTATTTAATATGGGACAACAATACGTACACGCTCAAATACCAAAAACAAGCATGGACACAACCTGACAAAATTAAATGGCTTTGTTATTAGTAAAGATATTTACATGTCCAGTCTTCTTGTTCGGTGCCGTGTCTGGACAATGCGCGTCGGTGGGGTCCAAGCACGGTTTTTTCATGTAGGCGGACGTAATGCCGGCTCTCTTCATGTAAGCCTCCATCGTGCTTAAAGGAAATTGGAATTTCAGCTTTCTCACTTCCTCCAACACTTCTTGGGGGTTTAAATGTGTCCATCTCAACTTATGTTGCAGACCTCTGTGAGATACAGAATAAAGTGTTAACGCAATCAATCAATGAACATATGTAGTGTATATATAAATACCATACATTATATTTTACTATGTAACGTACTCATTTGCAAGAATGATAAGTACCATCAATTATCGCTTTGAAAGCGACTGTTTTACTTAACGGACTAAAAAAATAAAGAAGAAAAGTTTGGCAAAATGCATTAAAAAATTCATTAAAATCTAAAACTTAGATGACGGTAAGCGATGAATGAGATTTCACTGTAAGATACATAATTAAATGATTAGTACTATTAAATGAAAATTACGAAAAATACATACGGGACGACAATGGGATAATCGGGTCCTAATAACTTGGAGCCTTCCCAGAAGCAGTCGAGTGGTGTGATGATAGCACAGGGGATGATGTTGTCGAATATTTTCTCGATGTGGTAGGCTTCGAAGTCGGGAATGCTCGGGCTGTAGCAGAGGTCCTTCAATCGCCACTCGATGTCGTACATATGAATCGTGACCCGCGTCGCCGCCTGGACTACCTGTATTAAAATGCAAATGACACTTAGCACAGATTCTTACTTAATTAAACGAGCTTGATTTGTTATTTGAAATATGCTAATGTATTGAACTGCATATCTTATTTCGTTATACGTGTTTCTCCGATTTTGTAATCATTCGTCAACACTAAAATTAGATTTCACAATTCCTCGATGCATGAATTTATTTTGGCATCGTTATGGAATTATTTTTAGTTTGAGCTTAAGCGAGAGCGAGGAGCATTATTTTAATATTACATTTGAAATGAACGAGTTATTATTTGAATTACACTTAACGATCCATACTCGGAGCTAAATTTATTTAATTTTCACAAAATTTTCAAGGTGAATTCTTAACGACAATATGACTGTATTTCAATTAGTGACTTTATTTCAATGCTAAAAAAAAACTAGTATATTAAAGCTTAGCCCTACAATTAAAATTTTATCTAATAATATCACATTATAATGAATAAAAAATATAATTATATTTTTATATGAAAATATTTTTTTTAGATAATATGCTCTTCGTAACCACTAGTGCTCAATTGCACGTGCACGTATTACGTTTGGGAATTAAATTCAAATATAAATCATAATTTTATTTATGATTGCATATTATTGTAATTTGTAAATTTTATTTGGTCATGTTATTCTTAGCTCTAAGCAATTAGATTATTATAATATTAGATTTTTTTCTTAATATTCCTTTCATTGTAAGTAATTAATTATGTTGTCATTGATATAGGCATAGGCATAAGTCAAAGAACAGATTAAAAATAGTACCTTTAAGTGCGCAAGCAGCGCACCAACGTGCAGTAGCGAGACGTCAGGATCCTTCGCAGTTTGTATGATCAGTTGGTGGGTTGAAGAGTCTGTCTCACCCAGCGCCTTCGCCGTGTATTTCAGTTCGGCTTCTAATCTTCCTCCCTCTAAACAAATTATATAGTTATTTGTTGATTGTTATTTGAATATAACCCTTCGGCAAATTGTACAGAAGTCCGAAGAGTACAATTTGCCACTATGTCTGGCGTATATGGACTATGAGAAAGCCTTTGATTCCGTCGAAAATTGGGCGGTGCTACAGTCCCTTCAGCGGTGCCAAGTTGACTGTCGGTATATCGAAGTGCTGAAGTGTTTGTACAGAAGGGCTATGATGGTTATCCGAGTTCAGAACCAGAGTACGAAACCTATCCAATTTCAGAGAGGTATAAGACAGGGTGACGTTATATCCCCAAAACTCTTCACCGCTGCATTGGAAGACGTTTTCAAGCTTCTGGACTGGAAAGGGTACGGTATTAACATCAATGGCGAGTACATCACTCACCTTCGATTTATCGACGATATAGTCCTTATGGCAGAATTGCTGGAAGACCTAAGCACTATGCTCGATGACCTCAATAGTGCCCCCATCGAATAGGTCTTAAGATGAACAGGGACAAAACGGAAATCATGTATAACGTCCATGTCACACCTATAACGGTAGTTGCTGGGAGCACAAAGCTCGAAGTTGTTGACGAGTGTGTTTACCTGGGATAAATAGTCCGACTAGGTAAGTCCAACTTCGACCGAGAGGTCAATCGACGGATTCAACTCTGCTGGGCAGCGTTCGTGAAATTACCACACATCTTCTCATCAGGTATACCTCAAACTTGAAAACGAGACTTTACATCCAGTGCGTGTTGCCAGTGAAGACCTATGGAACAGAGACGTGGTCCTTCACTGCTGGCCGGATGAGGAAGCTCAAGGTCGCTCAGCGAGCTATGGAGAGGGCTATGCTGGGAGTTTCTCTGCGTGATAAACTTAGAAATGAGAATATCCGCAGTAGAACCAGAGTGATCGACATAGCCAACGGATTGGTAAGCTAAAGTGACAATGGGCCGGCCATATAGCTCGAAGAACCGATAACCGATGGGGAAAAAAGGTTCTCCAGTGGCGGCCTCGTACCGGCGGACGAAGTGTAGGGCGTCCCCCACTAGATGGAGTGACGACCTGGTAAGACATGTAGGAAGTCAATGGATGCAGGTGGCTCGGGACCGTGCTTTGTGACATTCCTTGGGTGAGGCCTATGTTCAGCAGTGGACTTGTGAAGGGCTGTAATGATGCAATGATGATTTGAATATACAATCGCTAACAACATAATTCGAAGCCTTAACAGGAAATGAAATTGAAGCACTAATTATTAAGTTTCAACTACGAATTAAATTTGATTGTAAGACTTGAAATTTCTTTGACTTTTGACTGCCTGCGGATTACTTCCAATTGTATTACCCACATATTATATTGTCATGATCGAGGCTTGAAAGACTCTTGATTATTTACCGGTTGCTCAATGTGTAAATTATATTAATGGATTTAAGACATAAAGACATAAAGACATTTATTCCGACACTTCATATTACAATGACAAATTAATAAACAAAATTAATACGAATAAGAATAAACTAATAATAAAAAATATTAAAACACAAGAAAATGAATAAACAAAAAAAAACAAGAATTCATGACTTAATAATCGAAACAGATGAAGTGGCGGAAGGGACCGCCTCAGCATAAGCCGCGGGATAGCGACGCTGATTTTCAGTCGGCCCCATACGGTCCTACGGAGACCGTGCCGTAAGTGTCGACATTAAGCGAGTAGTAGATACATATGACAATAACAACTGATGAATGACAATAACAAAATGGAAAATGCGTATTGTATAGTTGAACTGAATGTAAGTTACTGAACGCTACGTTAGTTATCGTATTGTATGATTGTTGACTTTAAAGGTTTACGACAACCGCCATTTCAGCTTCTTAATATGTTGGACTCTTGCACCGATTTCAAATAATTATATAACACACTATGAGTATCGTTGATAAATTACCTGTGTGTTTGAGACCTTATTTTTACTTTTTAATTCGTACATAAATCTAAAGCTCGACAAGTTTTAAATCTTTTTGTTGAAGTAATGTATTGCAAATGCCAAGATCACCAACGGCGTTGGCCTTCAGCAGCGTACAAATAAGTATGTAATGGGAAATGACAGGGGAAAAAACGCAGTTTAATATTAATGAAAACGCAATTAAGTTCGCATTAAATTAGTTTCTTTTTCTCGCAGACGCGAAGCTTGTGTAACTCGATTCGGTTCATTAAAATAAATCGTCGGTTGATGCGATAGTCGTTATGAACACAGACATCTTAATTTACTTACTTGTGTTATGACTTTATACACAGATAAAACATAACTATGTTTTTAATTAGCAGCGATTAATGCCAATCTTTAGCCACTGCATACAATGTGACTCTAGATCAGTGGTTCCTAACCAGTAGTCCGCAAGAGCTTACAATAAATACACAAATAATACTGCAAATGGATGCTTCTTTTCAGTTTTACGATTTCTTAAACAGTTAAAACGTATACATGTTATATTAAAAACGCATTTAAGGCTACTTTGAGAACTAAACAATCATCTAAGAAAACATAAGATGACTTGTATATGTTATTTAGGGGTGAACAATTTTTGTTCAAACAAAAAATATGTTCTAAACTTAGCCAATACATGCTGTCAGCACCTAAAGTTTATTGGAAAGTGTCGACACATTTGTTAGAGGAGCGAAGGGGCAAGAAGCTGCTTAACACATCCACGTTGTGATTTATGGCGAAGTTGCGACAGCGCTACGCGTCTGCACGCTGCGGCTTTAATTAAAAAGTAAACTAGATACTGACAACTCTAGTGTTATGTTTAAGCATGGTATAACATTTTAAAAATGGTTTAAATATGCTGTTTAGTGAGATATTATTTCATAGAAATATTATATAACATCATTATATTATAAGATTCTCTTTCCGCCACAGTAGGGTATCATGTTATAAATAATCTATTTTCTCAAAGCAGGAGGGTAAAATTTTTAGCTAGTATGTAGGGCGGGTATGAAATATTAAAAACTTGCTACCAAAAATATTTCAATATACATATTATAATGAATTATTTTTAAAATTATTCTCGAACGTCCTTAGTGACGTACGGACCCAGCACAGCGGTTGTTAGCATCGTATTTTTTTTTGTTTTCAACGCGATATTTTTTCGGTTCGGCAACGAAGGTAAGATGTTCATACGTTATCATCCTGTCGCGAGAATTCGTCCCAATTAACACCCGAGCCGTTGATTTATCGTCCGGTGCCACACGTATTTTTTGCGCTGAATTAGGCTTTTGAGGCGTTAGTATAAAATAAATAATAGGTACATCTACATTAGATATACACGAATATATTGCTAAGATTATAAAACAACCATTTTCTCTCTCTCTCTCTCTCTCTCTCACACTCTCTCAGTCTAATCTCTCTTTTATTCTCTTTAATCTATAACATTCTCTAATTATTCTCGCCTAATTTAAATTTTAAAGTTCAAAGCCCATGTACAGCCCAATACAACTAATATTGTTAACTACCTGGATTATCAGTTATTGCAACCTGATCAACGAAATCGAATTTAAATTCTATTAAGGTCTAAGAAAATATTGTATTTTGAAATAAATAAATATATATATATATATATTTATTTATTTCAAAATATATATATATATATATATATATATATATATATACGCAAATAATAATACGTAATAAAAATAATAAGCCTTTCCTTGACTTAACACAATAAAGACGGAAATTACGAATATAGTTTTACATGAAAGTAATATAAAAATGGGCAAAAAATTTCTTAACAATCTTAGATTTGCAGACGACATCATTCCTTTTATGTCAATATAACATATATGCAACATAATATGTAGGAAAAAAACATTAATAATAATAAGGCACAAAGACCAACTCGATAGAGGAAGTAGCTTAACCTGGAGCGAATATTAAAGCTTTAAGGGAATTTAAAAATCAATCTCCTAATAAAGATTTAAAATCAAAGGGATGGGTTCGTGCCTGTTATTCAAAAATACGACGACCAAACATGGATCTTTAACAGAACGACAAAATTAAATAGGAAATAGACTATAGAAGTTATGGAAAGGAGGCATCAAGCTTATAAAAAAAACAGTAGAGCAATGATATAAGTAAGATAAATACCAAATTAATAGATACAGGAAAACAAGCAAGAAGTATGCCGATGGACCCTTGCACAAGACAAATTAGAAGAAGAAAGATGGAGACCGTTGCAGGGCCCGAAATGGGCCAATTTGTCTCAATATTAAATTAAGAAAAAAACGACAAAAACAGTGCATGTTTAATATTATTATTTCGTCCAGCAATGTATCCATTGAAGGTTGTTAAGTAAGGCTCTTGGCCGAGTTAAAATAAGTATCGATATTCGATAATAAACCATACGTTTTCATATACGTTTGCCATCCGTTCTATTAAACACGGATGTTGATCGCGCATAAGCTTGTTCCATAAAGATTATAGAAGCATGATATGATATAAACTTCAATGCCTAATAATAATTATTTTGGTTTAATGAAAGCTTTACTTATTGAATAAACAAAAATTGCATAGTTTTTTTTTATTAACTGGCCACCTCGCCTAGATCTATGTTGCGTTATTTAGTTTAGATTTAAGATTTTAAAAAATCGGTTAAAATATTTTTTAATATTTTTTTTTATAAATGTTTACGTGGTAGAGCCATGCTGCAGCTATATTAATAGTATAGTTGTAGCACGAATGGGTCGGCTCGACCGGGGAAGGACCACGCTCTCACAGAATACCAGCGTAAAATAGCAGCTTAACGCTGCTGTGTTTCGTATGGTGAGTGTAGAGAACCGGAGACCTTTTTTACTGGAAAAGATGCATTCTATCTCAGTCCTCACGGCTGACAACGCATCTGCATTTTAATTCGCATAATTAAACGAAGATAGATGTAGATGTCTATGGGCCAACCACTTGCCATTGGGTGGACTGTGTGCTCGTTTGTCACCCTTATTCAATAAAAAAATATT